GCATATGCCAGACTGTAGTGCCACTGTAGATTCCATTGTCAGCTGCAAAAAATGTGAGATTTTAAAAAATAAAGCCTGTGTTTGGGGAGACAGAGCTTGAAATAAACCTGCAGAAATTATGCTTGCACACGAGGTAGAAGGATTTATTATTTATTTATTAGTTCAATTTATATGCCGCCCTTCTCCGGAGACTCAGGGCGGCTTACAATGCATTAAGCAATAGCCTTCATACTTTTGTATATACCTGCTTAGTAGGGCTTTCCCCCCCCCCAAAGCGGTGTTCTTCTTCTTTTTTTTAATACAAAGTCAGTTTATTGCCTTCACAATCCGGGTCCTCATTTTACCTACCTCGAAAGGATGGAAGGCTGAGTCAACCTTGAGCCTGGTGAGATTCGAATTTGTAGTAATTGCAGGCAGCTAGTGTTACTTAACAGCACTTTAGTCTGCTGCGCTACCAAGGCTCTCTTGCTTGATTACTATTTGTCTCTTTTTGCACTCTGTGCTTGTGTGTCCCAGCTAGGAGTACACAGATAGTAATAATCAATCCATTTATCAACAATTTTCAGTGTTCCTAAAATAGTATGTCACTAGGTAGAAAAAGTTTGTCACTGCTAAGTCTTGGGCTTTTCAGATTATTAAATTCTGGATGATACTTAAAAACCTGCAGCAATGCAATGAAGTACATATCTATTAACTGCCATGAATTTCCTGGAACCATGTTTTTCAAAGTGTGGTTCTCAACAAAATGTTTCCCCAGAAGAATCTGGTCACAAAAGAGCTGAAATCATCATAATAAAAAAGAACGATTTGAATTGCTTTATTCTGTTTCTCCCAGTTTAATATATTTTATTTTTTATCTCTCTATCGAAAGCAGAATAAAGAATTTACAGACCCCAAAGTATCCCAGGATCACGCTATTGCAATTCATCAGAATATGGCTGGATTTTTCCAACGCAATTTTGGGCTGTTTTGAAGTTTTGATGAGTTTTTTAAGAGTTGGAATGATAGCAGCTGGCCCATGAGAGGTTTCCTGAACTGCTTCCCTTCATTAACACTTCTACAACAACCCCTCCCCTCCCCAAAGCCACAGACTTTTCTATTGTATCACTGCAGACCTTTGCAGTGCTGCTGAAACCTGGGAGCCCTTCAGAAGCTGTCCATTTTTGCTCTAAGGAGCTTCTTTTGGAAGGTGACTTCATCAATACTGGATTTATGTTCCTCCTGTTTTTTTAGAAACATAATCTTTTTGCAACTTTGGGTGGGGGAGAGTCAAGTCAATAATGGTAAATTAAGGACACAAATTATTGCCTTCTACAACTTACAACTGACTATGTCCTATATATTCAGGAACTAGGAATTCATTGTTTGTTGGCCACTAGTAGAAGGAAAACCAAGAAATCTGTCAGTGAGCTTGACAATCTTTTGTACAGATTTCAAGGTGAGACACATATTACTATCTTTTCCTGTTAATACCTTATTTATGTAGTGTAAGCCAAAGGTCAGAAAGCATGGAATAGGAACAGAAAGAAGGGTTTTTTTCTTCCAGAAAGTACTTTGAATCTGCAAATGTAGTAATACCTATCTGATTCTACATTCATTCATTCATTCATTCATTCATTCATTCATTCATTCATTCATCCATTCATTCATTTAGTTTATATAGCTGCCCATTTTAAAACCAGCTCTGGGGAGTTCCCAATTAAAAGTTAAAACAGCATAAAAGCCATATTAACAGAATAAAACTAAACACATTAAAAACAACAAAAAGCTGGTGCCAAGTCACTTCATCTTATCCCAGTGCTTGGAGAAAAGGTGGATTTTCAAAGCTTTATGGAAGGCTAGAAGGAGATGGGCCTGCCAAACTTCAAGGGGCAGAGTGTTCCATAGGGCAGGGACTGCCACGGAAAAAAACATGCTTCCTAGCTCCCATCAGATGGCAATATTTAAGGGAAGGGACTAGGAGCATGTCCACTCTATTTGGCTTTGCAGGGAAAGGTGATTCCACAAATAACCTGCCCTATGACATATAGGGCTTTAAATGCTCCTGGATTGGACCGGATCGCCTGATCTGGTAGCGATCTTGGCTGGAGGTTCGGCGATCTGGTAGTGATGGTCCGCCCACCCACCCTGGTGTCATTACTTCCTGGTTAAAACCAGGAAGTGTTTTTTACCTTCTGCGCATGTGCAGAAAGGGTTGTGCATGCGCAGAAGGTCTGCATGTGCATGTGACGTGGTGCGTGCGCTTCCGAACTGGTAAGGAAGGTAAGTAGATTTCACCCCTGCTTTAAAGGTGATGACCAGAACCTTGAATTGCATCTGGGAAAAAACCCTGGAAGCCAGTGCAGCTTGCACAACAGAGGTGTTACATGGGCAGATCTAGGGTCTCTCATTACTGTGCACTACATGGTTTCTGGATGATTTGTAGTTTGTTAATTTTTTAAAGATAACTTCAGTCCTATAACCCTTGACTGGAAATAACCATAATTGAAAACCAATTGAATGAATTAATGAATGTAGATATTGTGGTATTGGAATAACATTGCTATGATGAGTGAGCACATCCAGCTTACTCAGTAAACACTAGTTAAATAAACCTTAGATAAGGGGAATGTAAGAACACAAATCTTTAAAATGATAATGTTGTGATAACTCCATAGTTTAAATTTGAATTTTGCAAAGGAATATATTATTTTATCTGTTCTTAATCTTCTGCCATTCAGTTTCATTAGATAACTTCTAGCATTTTGAAAGAAATAGAAACGATCTTCAACTCACTTTTTCATGTGCTCTGTAATTATGTGAACACTATTATATTTTCCCATTGCTTACCTTTTCTAAACTAGAAATCCCCTACTGCTGTATCAGAGAGGAAGTGGAATGAATGGATGCATGTATTCATGTTTGTTTCTACCCCGTTTTTTTTTGCTGTAGCCCTACCTATTGCTGGTATGTGGCTTTGGCCACAGTTCCCTGGAGGAAACACATTCATCCAAAGAGAAAACAACAGCAACAATTGCTGTTTTATTCCATGACTCCTGAGTTTACTTAGATTGTTTACTGAAGGACTTGAAAAAAATATTTTGAAAATTGGTATTAATGGCTACCTTTGGATGGCATAACAAGTCAAAGTTAGAGTTTAGCTGCAACACTCTGTACTTGCTAGTTCCTCCTGCACCCTGGCGTGGATAATGAGCTGTCCGTTGTACTGTAAAAATTGGCTTGTCATGTTGTAAAAAGGAGAAGTAAAGGTTTCTTCCAGGTGGAACTAAAAGAAATACAGGTTTCTTTACTTTGCTTCATTTTCACAACCAGAAAATTCAGATGCAGATTATGAAGAAAGAGGCAGGTACAATAGTCATATGATAATAAGGGAGAAACCAATGGCACAAGTTATTTGTAGCTAAATTATTAATTTGTTGTATCAATTCTCTGTATGTAATGTTCCCTACACTTCCTCTGTCTGTTGGTTGCTGATACATGAATGAAGGCATTCTGATTCTTCTTCAGTAAGTCTAACTTTTCTGTAGTATTTAATGTTTTCTACTAATTTACCAAAAGCTATTAAACTAATTTGTTGTTTCCCAATTTTTTCTCCATTTTTTAAAAGATCAAATGTTAACACTGGTTCTTTTCCACTTGTACCCTGCAGTATATTGTTAAATATATTAAGGTCTTTAATATACAGGTTTTTCTCTATTTATTCCATTATCTCAGACTGAGAAAATATATATTGTATATCTTCTAAGAGACAATATATATAAATAATTCACCATTTCTGCAATCTTCAATTCACTTTTAGCACTGCTTTATCACTCTCATTACCATGTAGTCTAACTTCCCTGCTGCTATTTGGCTTTTATTTCTTTTAAAAATATTGTTGGACTAAATATTTTTAATTCTTATGGAATACCCTCTACATTTTACTTTGCCTAAGATTGCATTTGTTCCCATTCTTTTAATTTGTACAATATTTCCATTTTTTAATGAAATACATTCATGCTGGCACCTTCTTGGATTTCATTAGATCTTGCCTAATCTGTGGTGTGGGTTCAAGATGAGCTTCAATTGTAGCGCAAGTCACATTCCTCAAAATATTTTGTAGAATTTTGGACCTCTTAACTTTTCTATTTAACTTCTTTTTTATCATCCTCCTCATTTTTGAGGTGATGTTCGACTATCTTGCCAATTGTTCACTTATGTATGCAGTATATTCTCTTTGGTAACTTTGTTGTTAATGTTTCCAGCTAGTAGTTTTCTGCTCATTTGATTACTGTGTTCTGACTGAATGAAACGTTTTATCTCTCCATATCATTGTTTCCTTTTCTTATGAACATTTTTCAGGTGTAAGTGTGAGAGAAGAGACTGTTTTATTTATTAATCTATAAACCTCTTTAGAAAACTTTTTGGGTGAGAAGTGCAGTACAGTTTATTTAAATCAAGAAATGAGCTTACAATTCTATACACAAATACTCTTTTAAATCCCAGCAAAGCCTGTATGTTAGACTGTCACTTCCACACTGGAATAGTGGAAGACTTGTGATACTGCAAATGAAATGTTGTCTTTGGATTTTTCTAAAATTTTATTTTAGAAGTACTTTAACCAAGTACTTCTAAATCTGTCAGTAGAATTATTAGAACAGTGAACACGATGGACAAAATCTGAAGAACAGAATTTGATGTCTCTCTAACCATTTAACTCCATCCGTAGGAATATTGATACATGCACTGTATACATGGAATATAATAAATGCATTCTATGGACTTTCATGTTTTAGTCTATCATGCAATCAAGTCAAACAACTTTTAACCAGTGTTTGCAATTTCCTTCTCTTAAAGCCAGAAAAATAGTTGGATCACTTAGAGCTGGATGTTGTCTGTGTTTATTTTGTTTTTATTTTAAAGCTGCCTTGTTTCAAGTAGCTAAGGCTGATGAGCAAAATTGTAGGTCTGGTCTGAAGCTCCTCCCCGGGGGTGCAGAACAGGAAGAGGTGGAGGTCAGAGGGAACTGCTGGAGTTCCTTAGTTTGTGTGTGAGGCCGAGTCCCGTTACCGCTTTACTCTGCGTGTGTCTTATATTACAGCAATGCTGCCTGCACATCAGTGGCCAGAGAGGGGAGAAGGGAGGAAAAGCCTGTTTACACAGACTGCAAACCGCCTGGGGAATAATGCAGGAAAGGAAGTGAGCCGGCTCTCTGTCTGACTGCTCTAACTTCCTGCTCTCTCTCTCACTCACACACACACACATTCGCACACACACTAGCAAAGGGGGGGGTGCGTGGAAGGGAGAAAGAAACAAGGGGAAAAATCAGGATCTCATTACAAGAGCAACAAAGCGTTTTAGAGGACTGTCAGCATGGAAAACCGGGGGATTCTACGCAGCTCTCTTTAAAACGGCCAGACGAGACTGGAAAGAAGCCCACCAGACCAGGCGCTGGGTACGTAACTCTATAAAGTTGGAAGAGTCTCTGGAGGCGAGGAAAAGGGCTGTGGGGGAGACAGGTGGGAGCCGAATGCCAATGCAATGCTTCTGGGCTGTTTATCGATTCCAAAATAACTTGCAGGAGCACTTTACTTTTCCCGATAAAACACCAAAAGGGTCGTGCCGGGGGGGGGGGGGGAATCCCTGCCTCGCCGCAAGGCATCCGGTTGGGGCGGCCAGGGAAGGGGGAGAGGAGGGGAAGGGAGCCGAGCCGTGTGCGGCTGAGTTTGGGGCCAGTGGGGGTGAAAGTTTTGGGGTGACTTTTCTTGCTGCTGGCAAAGTGCCATCTGGCACTGAATGTGTGCTTGCGTGAGGGGGGGGGGCATCTCGGGGTGGTGGTGGGGGAAGCAAAAACTCCGAAACGTTATTCCTAGGTTGCTGGAATGAGGACGACTTAGGGACCCCCTCCCCCCCCCATCCCCGGGCAGGACAGGAAGGGGCTCTGGAGCCGACCGAGAGGGATGAGGTGAGGGAGCTGCGAGGAGCCTCCACCTGCCGTTGGCCAACAGGGAAGGCAAAGAAGGATCTTTCTTCTTTGGAGGCTGGGAGGGTTGTAGAAGGTGGCTACCGGGATGGGGTCGGAGTCCCGCGCCGGCGTTGCCTCCGCTCGCTGCAAGCGCTTCTGCGGGAGCGCGGCGGCGGCGGAGGGCCCTGTTGTTGTGCGTGGAGAAAGGAGCTTTGGGGTCAGCGCTTGTGGAAAGGGGGAGGAAGGGGGGGGGGAGAAAGCGCGTCTGACAGTTTCGTGGAAGAGCTGCCTTTACTCCGAAGGAGCGCCGACGGGCGTCACGAGCCGACTCCGGCGTGCGTCGGAGGGCGGCAGGGAGGGAGCGCTTTTGCGTGCGTTCAAGGACCTACTGAGGCTCGTGGCGATAATAACTCGCTTGTAGGAGCCCGGTGGCGGGGGGGGAAGGGGGGGGAGAAGAGCTAATTTTTGAGGCAATGAATTTGGATTGGCGGGGAGGGGGAGGGGGCAGTACACCGGTCTGGGCTTCCTTGAAATTAGGGGAGTTGTTTAAATGGTTTCGGGCTGCAAAGAGAGGAGTAAGACCGTCCAAAGGGCTTTGGGAGGAAGGGGGGGGGGGAAGCGTTGGGAGAGTTTCTGGCTTGTCTGGCAACAGCAAGACTAATTGCCATGCGCTTCCGGTTTGAAACTGGCAGCAGACAACATCTTGAAAATGAGTCACTGCAGCTCACAAAGAAACTCTGTGGTTTTCCTCAGGTTTATGCATTCGCTCTTTTTACGGTTGTCTTTGTGGTCTGGAGAAAAAGGGAGCGAGCCAGGCTCCTTCCCGTTCATCCGCTTCTTCCACTGAGCAACCCCATCGTCCATTTTAAACTTGCACACCGTCCGTTCCACGAGAGGGAAAGGGGCGGGGGGGTGTTAAGGAATATCGCGGGAGGGTTGTTTTTGGATCTGGCTTTGCTGAAGGTTAAGGGACCATGATGCTGCAGGAGGAAAAAGTTCCCTGAATTTTCCACTGGTTGCAGGAAGGGAGCCCATTTAGTCATGGCTAAGTAATGTCTGCACACACCAACTAATCTCATTAGGCGTTTCCGTTCCCTGACACAGGAGGGTTTTGTGAAGCCCTCTCGGCCTTTTCTGCAATACTGTTGAAAGCGAGACAAGTTACATCTTTATTTAACGGGGCTGGGGGGTTTGGACCAAGCTAATTTCACGCTGCATTGGTCATGAGGTCTTCAGTGACTTTTTAAAGAGAAGTGAACGGCAGACACATTTCATTTTCCTAATGGAAGAGCTTTGGGTTTGTGAATGTGCTTTGTTGCTTTTAAAGCCTCAGCGTACAGTTATGACATTTTGCATATCATGATGAACTACTGTTTGTAAGGATAATCTCAGTACGGATAAATAAAATGCTTATCTTAATAATGGATAGATACGTTCACTTGGATCTCACTTTTTAAAACCTCCCTATGCTTCCTAAAATAGCAATCTGATTACAAACTATTGATCACAATTATATATATTTTAATTGCAATGTTACCATTTTAACGAATTTTTAATTTTAACATGTACATTATAACTGAAAACTTCTTTTCTGTTCTAAATGAGCATTCTGGCACCAGATATTTTTCCAGCTCTGCTTGTATTAATGCACAAAAAACCCCTTTTTTTTAAAAAAATCCAGAACTTGAAACCCATTAAATACATATGGAGATTATCATCAAACTGTTTTCTGAGAGTGTTTTAAGAAGTTTGTGTTTTTGCTTTAGATATCTGATGTGCAACCAAAATGAAACAGGCTATACTTCCCAGAAGTGTGCTTGTTTGTAGAATCCCAGGGGGCTAAATGGCATCTCAGAATGGCTCTCATGCATAGAGTTTGTAATACTTTGCATTAGAGTTTCAGTGAGCTATTTAAGCTATGATCTTATCAGGAATGGGCATCCTTTTTTTTCCCTCTAAGGACTGCATTCCTGCAGAAGCAATCAACTGGAGGCTGCATTGTATGCTAATAGTGGATTGACTGAAGCAAGCAGTGGGTAGCAGCAGAGCCAAAGGCAATATGCAGTGATATGCTCTCTTTGGTATCCTTTTGCTGACTACTCTTTTTTCTTGTTCTCCTCACACAGCAAGCTGCCAGGGAAGCAATAAATTGCTTTTGACAAAGACAAAACAGCCAACAATTGGTACATGAGCTCATTTGGCAATGGGGAACTCTTAAAACAGAACAAAAATGAAGTTTGCAGATCAATTCCAGTTTGGTGCAGGAAAATTGATGGGTGCCAAACTACAACTGTCTTAAAAGTGGAGCTTGAATCTTTGGTATAAGAAAGTAATTGTGCTAAATGTTAAAAGTTCTAAAGTCCTAGGAGACCATACTGCATCTTCTGTCTATGTTGATTAATAGATTAATTTTCTATATTGATCTCTGTCTAGCTACCTGAACAGAAAAGTGCAGGATCGTTACTTTTTTCTTATTGCTTAAAAAACTTATTCAAACTTCAGATTCATTTTTTTAATAGAAATTTATGACGTCTTACTCTGAAAGTTATTATAAATCATATACTTGTTCTCCAGGGATCTAAATGGAATTATCTGTAAAGTAGCCCTTTGTAGGATTTTGCTACTATTTTAATTTATATGTAACAAAAATGAAAGAGAAAGTGGAAAATACAATGTTCTTTTTAAAAAAAACATTAGTTTCACATTTGTGAGATGAGTGGCTATATAATTTTGATAACAAATGAATTAGCTAAATAAATATAATTCCTGAATCCTAGAAATGATACCATTTACAGGTTAATTATGTGCACAGTTTGATTTCTATGTTTTTCAGTTTCTGTTTCATTTAATTGTTTGCATAATATAGCTAGCTTCCCTTGTAAGAGTACTGTATTGCATTCTGTATAGAAGATATATTTTCTTCTGTTTACTTTTTTGGGTGCTTACTGTTTTCTCAACTAAATACCTTTACACCAAGTAATTGATTTCAGAGATTTCCAGTCTTTGTTCCAAATTTTGAATACATTTGATACAAGTCCAATTAGACTGATTAGACTGTGAGAAGATGCAATGGCTCCAAATTTAATAAATAAATAAAAATGATCTGATCATTCATAGATAGACTATAGCCTTGCCTTCTGTTCACACATTCACATGATTCCAGAATGGAATTGTGAACTGATGCTAGCTATGGCTTGTACTGTTACTTGAGGTACATGTGAACATACCTACTGGTATATGTTATTAATTTAGGCTGCAGAAAGATGAAAAATATGAAGCAGGCTCTTTTGTATACATTCTAGAGTACTTTAGTTTTCTTTTCTGATTACAGTTCTTCATTATATATAAATTTGGAAGTCATACTGCAAGAATTTAAAAATATTTTTAAATTGATGCTGTGAGATATAATTAGGATCCTTCTATTTAGTACAGTGCTTCTATTAAGCTGTATAGCTCTAATCTATTGCTGAGAATCAGCTGGTAGATAATACAATTTCCATTTCTATGTTGTCTTATTTCTGAATTTTCCATGGGCTGCCCTGCAAGAAATAAATTGTATTAGCTATGGTGGTCTTTGTTTTAATTTGTAGTAGAGCAACTGCAGGATATATTTTAACTAAATCATATCCAATTTAATACATGGCTTTATAATATAACACCTTTCACTTCCATAGCTGACTCATGCTCAAAATGTGGAAATTGATCTAAAATTTGCAAACTAAATATTGATTTTATGTGCCACATTTAGCACAGGTGTTGTTTGGTTTCCAGAAAGATTGGCCTCCTCCTCTGTGTCAATTGTAGCCCTGTAAAAAGCTGTAATGACATATTTGTCATAGCTTTCTGTGGCAATGCAGCTTTGTTTTCCACAATCATTCTGTAGTCTTGAATGGTTATGTGAGTTCATTCTGTTTGAAGGTTCTGATTCAGAGGAAACCAACTGGTATACTTGAATCTTCTCAGAAAAATCTTAAAAGACAAGAACATATTTGTTCTTAGGAATTTTGCTGACTTAAAAATTAGTGTGTGATTAAAGATTGGTCATAATTTAGAGTAAAACATCAAGATACAAAAAAGGACATTGATTTTACTAAGCATCAAAATAAATTGCAATAACTCAGAGTTGCTAAAATAAATATAGCTATATAAATGGGGTGAATAAATTAATTAATTAAAAAGAAAGAAAGAGAAAGTAAGTTTGCCCTTTTTAAAAAACAAATTTGATTTTTCTTACTGGATTACCTGTTCTTGCAGTATGTGAACACTATATGTATCAATGTTTAGGAATGGACTTTAAAAATACTCCAAAGAATTCACAAACCTCAAATGAAGTGCAGTATCTTAAGTCAGGTTGCAGTCCAGGTTTAAAATCATGTTCCTCTGTTGAATTACTGTTGAGGAGAAAGCATTTAAAGTTTACATTTAACTCTAAATTTTAGAACTTGAAATACATTATAAACTTTGAAACTTTGCAGAATTTCCTTTCTAACAGGGAAAAAAACTGAATATGTTGGAATAGGATTATTTAAATGAAAGCAATAATTTGGTAATAGGGGCAAGATATTGTAAGGATTTATTTTTCTAAATAACCTTTCATGACATAGGTTAATTATTTGAACACGCATGCATGTATAAAGGTATAAACTGTTTTATTTGTTATATTAAACAACAATAATACATTTTGTAAAATTTTAAGAAAGTTCACAAGAACTTTCTTGCATTAAAAAGGATTCATTTAAATCTTTATTAAATCTACTATTTTATATATGAGTAACAAAGGACTTTTTTGGTAGTGGTTTTAGGCTATATTGTATCTTAGTACATCTGCAAAACAGATTTCTATTCTAGTATAAGTTTGTCTTAAATGAAGTGAAAATATCATGCAACAGTTTCTATGCAAACTTGTTTATCTTAGTCTATTTAGCAATGGATTGTGTGCCAACCCTTTAAACATTTTATTATTGCTTCTTAGGCATGTTACTCTTCACTATGCACAAAGGCACATATTGCAGTAGAAGGTAACTTTCAGCTATTTCTCATAACATGTATAGAGATATGTTTACTGGAAGTGTTTTTCCCCTTGAGAATGTTTTTAGTAATAATCTTTGTACATATGAACTTACAAAAGTAAAAATATATACTTTAAATTGAATATATTCATGGATTTATAATTTGCCCTTTTACAATGTTTTAAGCTGCCCTAAATGTCATGTACAATAAAAACATAATGAAATAATTAAATGGTATAATTAAAAGAAAGCACACAACAAATTATGAACGTATGTGAAAATTAAAGGTAGACTTTGACATAAAATGTTTGAATATACCATATGCAAGTGTATTTATAGACAATAAATGTATAGACGGACTGTAGAATAATTTGAGTCTGGCAATTTGATGCTGAGTTTGGAATTTTAAATACATTCAGAAAGTATTCAGACTCCCTTCACTTTTGTCAATTTTGTTATGCTGCAGCCTGATTCTACAGTTGTTGAAAATCATTTTTCCCATTAAGGTACACTCAGTATCCCATTATGACAAGTGAAAGCAGAGTTTAAGAAATGTCTGTAAATTTATTAAAAATAAAAAACCGGAATATCACATTGGCATAAGTATTCAGACCCTTTATTTAGCCCTGGTGCCCCCCCCCCATTTCTCTTGATCACTGCTGACATGTTTCTACACCTTGATTGGAGTTGACCAGTGGTAAATTAAATTGATTGGACATGATTTGGAAAGGCACACATCTCCCTATAGAAGGTTTCACAGCTGACAATGCATTTTGCAGCAGAGCAAAAGCCATGAGGTCAAAGGAACTGCCTGCAGAGCTCAGAGACAAGATTATTGCAAAGCACAGATTGGGTGAAGGCTACAGTTAAATTTATGCTGCACTGAAGGTTCCTAAGGGCAAAGTGGCATCCATAATTTTCAAATGGAAGAGATTTGGCAAAATCAGGACTCTTCTAAGAGAGAGACTTCCTGGTCTCCTAGTCAAACTGAGCAATTGGGGGAGAAAGTGAGAGGTAACCAAGAACCCAAGGGTCACTCTGACTGGGCTCCAGAGATCCTGTGTGGAGATGGGACAGATTTCCAGAAGGACAACCATCACTGCAGCCCTCCACCAATCTGGGCTTTATGGCAGAGTGGCTAGACGGAAGCCTCTTGGTGCAAAACACATGAAAGCCTGCTTGGAGTTTGCAAAAAAGCACCTGGAGAACTCTCAGATTGTGAGGAACAAGAGAATTGAACTGTTTTGCCTCGATTCTAAACATTATATCTGGAGAAAACCAGGCACCACTCATCACCTGCCCAATATCATCCCAACAGTGAAGCATAGTGATGGCAGCATCATGCTGTGGGGGTGTTTTTCAGTAGTAGGGACTGGGAGGCTGGTCAGGGTTGAGGGAAAGCTGAATGGAGCAAAGTACAAGGATATCCTCAATGAAAACCTGTTCCACAGCACTCAGGATCTCAAACTGGGCCAAAGGTTCACTTTCCAACATGACAAAGATACTAAGCACACAGCCAAAACAACACAGGAGTGGCTTAGGGACAACTCTCTGAATGTCCTAGAGTGGCCCAGCCAGAGCCTTGACTTGACACCTGTTGAACATCTCTGGAGGGACCTCAAAATGGCTGCCCACTGACGATCACAACCTGACAGCTTGAAAACATTTGCAGGGAAGAATGGCAGAAAATCCTCCAATCCAGGTGTGCAAAGCTTGTCGCATCATACCCAAAAAGACTCACTGTAATTGCTGCCAAAGATGCTTTACAAAGTGCTGAGTGAGGGGTCTGAATACTTATGCCAATGTGATATTTCAGTTTTTTTCTTTTTAATAAATTTACAGACATTTCTAAAATTCTGTTTTCACTTTGTCATTCTGGGATATGAGTGTAGATTAATGAGGAAAAAAATGAATTTCAACAACTGTAGAATCAGGCTGCAACATAACAATTGACAAAAGTGAAGGGAGTCTGAATACTTTCTGAATGCACTTTATGTTCACAGTTTAACTGTTTGTAGTAATTAACAGAAATTATCTTTTAGGATGATAATGATGAAATGTTTAAAATTTTGGTAAACCAAATACATTCCATCTAAAAGCTTGCATAATTAATATCTGCATATGTTACAGGAAACAGTTATTTCAATTTATACAGTACTAAATTATTGTTTTAATTAAGTAGCTTTGGCGTATGCTTATATATGTACATAAATGAAATTCAGTGCAACCAGGGATTACCACAGTTGGGAAATTTGTGAGTATAATATCAGTAGAGGTGATGAGCAGCTTCAAATTGCATGAAGTACACACATATTTTTTTTAAATCAAAGTTACACCTTTGATTTTCACATCCATATTATTATCACAACCATAGTCCAAACAGTTCTGAGGTTCAGTTGTGGATGAGAGTCCATAATATCTGTTTTGAAATACTCTTGTTGATTGAGAAAGAGGGTAGTAACCACTGGTGATCTGTCCTTTGGTAATTTGTCTAGTCCCCTTGGAAGCCATCTGAACCAGCAGCCAGTGACAACATACCTGTGGTAACCTATCCACAAGTAGTTACACACTGTAAATAAATATTTCCTCTCAAAATCTTTTATATTCTACTAGTCTGTTTCAGTAAACATGGATGAACATGTAATTTATAATCCAAGAAATATCACAGCTGCAAATTTTGTAATTACCAATCTCTGAAAATAGTTCCCCTTTGGAGGAACTAATATGAACCCACACTATTCGCCCAATTTCAGTATAATCCACACTAAATTATTATACCTGCCTAGGTATCGAGTATCAGTTCTCTCAGTCTTACCTGGACATGCTGAGGACTGAATCCAGATCTTTGTATGCAAATAATTTGTTCTACAGCTGAACCAAAAATGTAGTGTAGGACATTTATTCTACTATTGCTTCTTTTATAGCCTTTGTTCCTTCATTCATTCACCTGCGAAATCCCAGGTCCGAAATGGAGTCAGGACTGCTGCTATGTTGCAGAGTCATTAGATATGTGAACATAAGCTCATTGACTGGGTATGCATAAATTTAATTTAGGAAAGGTTTTCTGGCTTTTACAGTTTTGCCTAACCATGCTTGACTAGAATAAAATAACTTAAATTTGCTTTTTCAGCCAAGCTCCACAGAAGAGAATCAGAAGATTCTACAGTCCTACACTGATATTATACAGGTAGTCTTCAACTTACAACCACAATTGGGAACAGAATTTCATTGTAAGCAAGGAAGTTAAGAGAGCCACAACTAATTTTCACAACCTTTTTTTTTTAAACCACAGTTGTTAAATTAATCACTGCAATTGTTAAGTGAATTATGAAGTTGTTAAGCAAACCTGACTTTTCCCCTTGACTTTTCTTGTTGGAAGCCAACTGGGAGTGTTGCAAGTAGTAATCACATGATCTTGGGATAGTACAACCATCATAAATACATGCCAACCACCCAATTGTGATCATGTGACCATGTGGATACTGAAATTGTAGTAGAATATAGTCTGGATTCCCAGGAGGGACAGAGTGCATTTCAGAGAACTATGAGGCAGCAAATTTTAGAAGAAAAAGAGTTAAGACAGCTCTTCCATAGGCACTCCGTAGGCTTTCTCAGAATATATGTTTAATGGTGTAAATAGCCTGCTTTAGTTTTCTCAAGCATTTTTGTCCATCAGTGAAGAACAATAAAGGAAATTGTTTAGAGGAACTTCAGTGGGTCTTGGTTTTTGGAACCTGACATCAATCGTGCCAAACACATTATCACTTGTTTTATCCATATCTATCTACAATCTCTCCCTTTCTCCACACATATGCATACCCCCATGCACTTACTGATTTGTATTCATGTTGTTCAGTAAATTGTACAATAAGATTAAGAAAAACTTTATATTTTAAAATAATTTCAAAATAATAAGTGACTTCTTTGTTTTCTAATGTAAGTGAAAAATAGAATGTCTACTGTACAAACTGCTTCCATTGTGACTGCTGACTCTGAACAGACTTCCAAACAGCAATAGGATTAAAAATAAAATATGGTAATAATATCAAAGATCAAGACACCAAGAAACAACTAAAATAAATCTAAAAATTTACTCTTCAAGAGAAAAACAAAACTTTTCTGACTCTGAAGGTTGCTGAGATTCCTGCAGATGACATTTCTGAGGGTTGGGACTCAGAGGAAGCCCTCTATCACAGATATTAATAGACAGGCAGGGACCATTGGGAGAAAGCAATCATCCATATATATGAATCAATTGGGTCAAGAATAGGTATGGGCACCAGTTGGTTTGCCATATATAATATGGAGGTGTCCTATGGCAAACCAATTGGTGCCTATGCGTATTCTTGACCTCTGAGTAGAACACATGACCACAACCCAACTGGGAGGTGGTCAAAGCAAAGGTGGAACTATGCAGAGGTCTCCTAGCTACAGTTGCTTCCTTTTTTTAAGCAGAAGCTGTGGATACAGGAAGACCTGTTTGAAGAAGCTAAACGGAAGCACAGTCCCATCCAGAGCCATATCTCTGGAATGTGTCCATAGCCACTTTGTTTTGCTGGAATTGAGTCTAAGCCTGTTCCTACCTAGCCAGACCCTGAAAACCTCCAGGCATTGGGACAGAACTTCAATGACATCCTTTTTGGGTTGGAATTCAAATATGCAGCTGAATACAATCCACTTACTGATATTTTTATGCTAGTGAGTGACCTCTCCTAGCAACCTCATGTAGATGTTGAAGTGTCCACTTTGAAAAGAGTACCACTGCAATTAGTGTATTTTGCTCCGAACCTTACAGATAATCCAGAAAAATATGATAGTGAAGGCTTCCAAGAAATCAAGAAAAGATAGGGTTACATTTCCCCTATCCTAATTCTACCACAGGTTATCCAGAAATAAAATTAATATGAATTACATTCCATACCTAGACCTAAACCCTTGCTGAAAAGAATCCAGATAATTGTTTCCTCTTGAGATATCTACAACTGCAGCCTCCTCCAGGGTCAATAGTATCATCCTTTCTCCTAACTGAAACTAGCCTCCTGTTATTACCTCCCTGGGATAGAGAGTGATCAGTCTGCATGTGGCAGAACTGATGCTGTGGAGAATCCTTTTAATTTCCTCAAGGTAACAGGTTCAAACTTTGAAATAACCTTGAAAGATATAACCTCTGCTACTTCATTAGAACCTGCCTAACAAGCATTCATCTCCATGTGAATCCTCTAAATTCCTTAGAATACCTTTTATAGTTACTAAGAATTATCGTCTAAATTCCCACAATCTCGTTGAGCAGCCTAACAAATGTTCTTCCAGCTCATTCTTCCCAAAGGAGTTTGGGTCACATTAAATAAGCCTCTCCAGCTGGAATCTTGATGTAATAATAGCATGCAAATAGTATTGCTGTTTCTCTGCCTCTATTACCATGATGCTTATTCAGACCTGAGCTCTCCCTTATATTTGGTTAGATTCACTCTTTGTCTTTCACCACTGGCGGAATTAATATGAATTACACACATACCTGAGGTGTCGTCTCTGATGTTTCTTCTACTAGAGCTCAGATAACTTCTTGGTTGTGAAGCAAGGAAAAGCTGTGCAATCCTATTCAAGGCTGCTGCCATCTCCATATTCTAGGATGGGACTAAGCTCTCAGTAGAACTGCCAACTATAGATTTGGGGAAATCCTCAGGAATCCTTTGGAAGCCAGGGAGATCCATTAGGTATTTGGGCAGTCTGGTTGAATTAATTTGCTTTTCCTTTGGAAGTTGGCAACCTTGATTAATTCTATGGCAATCATAGAGTGATCTGACCATGACAAAACATAGGTATTATATCACATTACATCTGCTCATGACCGCCTATATCCATGATGGCAAACCTATGGCACACGTGCCAGAGGTGGCATGCAGCGCCCTCTCTGATGGCACGTGAGCTGTCGCCCCAGTTCAGCTCTGCTGCACATGCACGCATGCCTCTGGCCAGCCAGCTGGTCTTCTGGTCTCTGCCGTGCGGGGGGCGGGATGCTTGCGGGGTGTGCATGCACGGGGAGCGGGGCGCATGCAGGAGGGGCGTGCATGCATTGCATTTTGGTGGTTCAGGCTCATGGGCCCTTTGGACACTCAGTCCAGAAAAGGTTAGCCATCACTGTCCTAGATGAATTGGGTCCCTGATTACCTGGGATTTCAAGCAAAAATTCTGGATACCTATGGAGAAGTACCTCTAGTAATCTACAGATCAAGGCATTTTGGCTTTCCTCTAGAAAGCCAAATTCACTACTAATTTTCAAGACTCTTTTTTTAAAATGGTCTAACTGAAATAGGAATATGAATTCTGACCAATGTATGTCTGGAAAACTCCATAATGTAAATTATCCTTATGGCAAATTATCCATTTATTTTAAAGACAAATTCCAGGAGTAGATCAAGAGATGCAAAAAGACCATTTCTTGAACCACTTTATATCATGGAATTAACTATATCTTTAATATTTCATTATTAAAAAATACCGCTTCGTAGCTTCAACTAATTTATTATGTCATGAACTTGGGTAAGCAATAACATATATCAGCAGATACAACATTACTTTTGCAAGAGGGAGACAGGTAGTGGAAACTAGAAAGAAGAATCTGAAAATATATGCATATTTTTCTTTCAACATTCCAACAATCCTTGTATTTGGGACTTCCAGTGATAAGGGATATACCAAAGTTTGAAAGTACTTCCCCATTCTATTCAACATCTCTGGCTCTCAGCAGGATTAAAACTGTTCCTTTTTTATCCCATTTAATATTTGTACAATTTACCTTCTGATGAGATAAATGGTTCAAGAAAATCAAGGCAACAAGTATGCTTAAAAGCTTAAATAAAATACAGAGTTGCTAGATAAATAGGAGTAAAATATTTTTTAGTGAACATGTAAATAGTTCACTGTAGTAGGATTACAGAGCTGTATTTATAGCCTTGTATTTTTGATCCTGCTCACATTTTAAGTGTATTTAAATATATTTTAAATGTTAAGAAAATGGTTTTATGTTAAGTCACCAAAATAGTTATCACTGCCACATTGCCATGAGAAGACAACAATAGAGATACATATGGAAAATATAAAGATATGGTCTGGCTTTGAACCTGGAAGTTCTTTTGTGTGCAAACGAATGTTATGCCAGTATATTACAGATGCATACCATATGAGTGGGACAGGAAGTATGAGAGTTCTGTAGGCATTTTATTTTATTATCATTAATTTTTCAAATCAGTGTAGATTTATGTGCTTTTCCAACTGCTTATTTTTTTAAAAAACATTGAACAACTAGTGTTTAAAAAATCTTAGCAAGCAGGAACTATCTTCATTTCCTTCCTGTTCCCAATCCAGGAAATAGAATCCATGCACTGAATCAAACTTCCTGGTTTGGACTGTCTTATTGCAGACAACCTTAATGCATACATGGATGTGTATATCAGCTGAGTTGTGTTTGAATCCTAATGACTGTATAGACAAATGCTCACCATCTTGCTCTGTCTTCAACAAAACCCCTAGCTCTTCCAAGGACATTCCAGCCATTTCTTTGACCTCAGACATTCACTTTATCCTTTGTCTTTCCTTGTATTCACTGCTTTTTGTTAAACTTATTTTTCTAGCCCAAGTTGGTTGTATAAGAGAGACCAAACAAATCTGACACTCAAAGTGATATGATTATGTATACGTGATAATTATATGTGTGCACTTGTATATTCTTTCTTGTTAACTCAGGAATTTTGTCAAGCTTTGAAATTTTATGATTAAGTAGGCAACCCTATATAATCCTTTTGTGTGTGTGTGTGTATGTGTGTCTTTGAGACAGTGCTGACTCCTGGTGACTGCCTGAATAAGTCTCTGCCCTTTTCTTGGCAATATTGTTGAAAGTGGCTTGCCATTGCCTCCTTCCTAGGGCTGAGAGAGTGTGATTGGCCCAAGATCACCCAGCTGGGCTTTGTGCTGAAAGTAGGACTAGAATTTATGGTCTCCTTATTGTAGCCTGGTGCCTTAACCATTACACCAAACTGGCTGTCTAAATAACTTACTCTAAAGTAATTTCCTGACAGGGGAATTTACTCCCATATAAATGAACGATTCTATGCACTTTAATGGATTACTTGGATATCTTGGGTTGGTCTGGTCTGGTCTGGTCTGGTCTGGTCTGGTCTCTCTCTCTCT